TAAGTTTTTAAAAATATAATCCAATCAGTATTATGGTTTCTGGATTGTATGTTTGGTTTAGGGGAGACCTTTTAATCTGAGGTTATAGAAATATTGCCTACATTTTCTTCTAATAGTCTTATAATGTTCTTTTTAAAAAGGCTTTTAGATCTTTAAACCATTTGAAATTTGTTTGTTTTTATAAACATTTTTCCAAATGGAGAGCTATCTATCCTAACCAAATCAGCTTGTCAAGTTTTACTTTGAGACTTTACAAAAGAATTCTTGGAATTACATTGAATTTGTAAGATACTTTGGTAGTGACTTCAGGATTTATTCATATACATATACATAGAGGGCACTACAGATTTATCCACTGGTTGATTCATAGTAACAGTTCTGTAGTCACATGGGCTGTGATGATACTTCTGAGATGTAACACATTATGAAAAAATTTGAAATGGAATTTTTCTTTTATAGCTCTGGAAAGTTTTCATAATGAAACTCAGTTCTACATTTATTGAATACTGTTCTAAGCTCCATAGAGTCATGTGCTACATAATGACATTTCAGTCAGTGATGGACCGCATATATGACAGTGGTTCCGCGAGATTACAGTGGGGCTGAAAAATCTCTGTTCCCTAGGCGTGTCGTCACCACCTTAGCACAGCACATTACTCACACTTGTGGTGATGCTGGTGTAAACACACCCGTGCTGCCGCTCAGATAATGGGCAGCACCTAATACTTGACAGTGTTAATAAAGGAATGTTAATGGTTTGTGTATTTACTATTGTCATTTTAGAGTGTTCTCTTTCTACTTACAAAAAAAGAAATTGGGCTGTGAAACCATATGCTGTATTACAGCAGCAGAGTCTCATACATACTGTCTCTTGATTGTATCATTTTCTTTCATACTTAATTTCATGTTTTATAAATTTAGTGTAGTCTAAGTGTATAGTGCGTATAAAGTCAACAGTGGTGCACAGTAATGTCCAAGACCTCCACCTTCACTCACCACTCGCTCGCCCAAAGTACCTTCCAGTCCAGGAAGATCCATTCATGGTAAGTGCTCTAGAGAGAAGCACCATTTTTTATCTTTTATGCTATGTTTTTGCTGTACCTTTATACTTAGATATATTTCGATACACAAATACTTACCATTGTGTTATAATTGCCTGCAGTATTCAGTGTAGTAACATGCTGTGCAGGTTTGTAGTCCAGGCGCAATAGTCTATACCACATAGCCTAGGTGTGTAGTAGGCTTTACCTTCTAGGTTTGTGTAGGTGCACCTCTATGATGTTCCCACACTGAAGAAATTGCTTAACAACACATTTCTTAGAACATATACCCATTGTTAAGTGACAGCTGACTGCATTGTATATAAAATAGTTGATAAGGTGCATTTTCAATGCCACTGGATCTTACCAACTGAGATGATAAATATTTGTACACGATATTCCTGGAACACTGAAAGCACCCCACACAACAGAAATATGACTTAGGAGGTTAGGTGAGGCTTCTTGGAGGAGGTAATATGTGAGGTAAATTTTGAAGGAATGATAGAAGTTAGCTGAGTGAAGGGTGGCATTTTAGGGGGTAAGGGATACAGGAAGTATAAATTAAGTCGTGCTGAGCATTTAGGAAAGTACGATGTTGTATACACACCTTTTTCTGTAAGTATATACCCTGGAGCCTAAAATGTGTGTGGGGTTAGCTAGGGAGCTGTTAGCCCGACTGTTGAGGCCCTTGCTTGTACACCATGCCAAAACTTTGGTATTTGTACTCCAGGTAATTGGGAACTACTAAAGATTCCAGGGAGTGGAGGGACAGTGACAAGCGGATTTTTATGTGAGAGTGATCATCCTTTGGCATTCTGAAAGATGGATTTGGCAGAGATGGGTGCAGGGAGACCTGTTATGAGGCAATTGGGCAATGATGCTGACAGAATGGGGGTCAGAGAGAGAAGGAGGAGACATAAATATTTAGGAGATAAAATCAGCAGGGCTTGGTGATTCTGTTTGGGAGGAGAAAGGGTGGGAAGAGTCAAATTTAACAACCACAGAAGAGGCTTGGTGACTGGCTTGAGTGATTGGGGCTATAGGCAGGGGCGGGGTAAGGAGGGGAGTGAGGGAGTGGGGAGATAAGTCAAAATTAAGACATGAGTTTCACTCATCCCTGGAATATATGAGTGGAGATGTTCAACTGGCAGCTGACTCAACTTAGGAGAAAGGCTAAGCCAGATCCTGTTCGGTAGCCATGAGTATATTGGTAGTTAAACAATGAGAACAGGATATGAGAACCAAGGGAGAGCGTATAGATTAGTCAGAAAAGTAAGACAAAGCCCAAACCTTAGGGGCCATGACATTTAGTGGACTAGTAATAGCAATAACTGCCATGTAGGAAATGCTTATTATACTTTACGTTGGTAGTTTTAATCCTCGCAGCAATGTCAAGGATATGGTACCATGATTGTCCCCATTGTTATGGAAAAGGAAACATCCAGAAAGGCTCCGCACAGTGAATGGAGGAATTAGAAAGTCTGGCTTCACAGCCCAAACCCTTAGCTGCTGTGCTCTACCACCTATGGATAAAAACGAGAAAGAATATGGAGAACAAGGAGAGCGTCTCAGGACAGGAAGTATTGTTCCCAACAAGGCATCGTCAATGATGTGAGGAACCCGAGCAGTCCACAGAGAAGACCAGGAAAATGGTGTTAAACCGATAGACACCCTGGATTGTTCAGGGAGCAAATGAGGAGATGAGGCATGGACACAGCAGGAATAGACTATTGTGAAAAGTTTGATGAGAAGAATCAGCAGTTATGAATGGCAGGTTTGTTATTCACTGGGGAGTCCAAGGATGCTTACAGTATGGGAAAAGTCAAGGTCAAGTGTACAATATCAGAGGTAGGGAAAAGTCGATGGAGCAAAGTTCTAGATAAAAGCATTTAATTTACCACTGTGTACCACTGTCCCCTTGGAGCACTCCCATTCATTTGCTGTCATACGCCCACATGCCCTGGCTTTCTTCTTTCCTATATTGAAGCAGATCCTTCTAAATCTCTTCTGGGAATTCTTGTTTCTCTCCATCCTTGCAAGGAGTCGTCTTCAGCTTTTTCTGTACTGTAACTCCAGGCAGTCTCATTCATCTACGTATTGAAAAATCCCAAGTGAATACTCCAGCCTAAAATCTCAACCATTAGCTCCCTCCATCTAATTTAATTCCCAGCATCTTTTACATGTCGTTAAGTTACCTCCTACCCAGTATTTTATTTGGGATTGCTTCAATTATGAATACCCGCCCTTTACCTCTGCCCCAAAACGCGCACGCACACGCGCGCACACACGTGCACACACATTTCGCTCTATTGGTTTTAGCTTTGGTGTTTCCTCTGCTGAAACCTTTCCATAGCTCTTAAAGACTCCATAGCTTAGTTATTCACTGTCAGACTACTTAACTACAGTTCATTGTAGCTGTCCTGGACACATCTGTTGCCCTTACTTGAATGAAAACTACTAGAGGGCAGGGTTTGTGCCTTAATCACAATAATGTCCTCTTTGTCTAATGAAAATGAAAAAATAAGAACCTGGATATGGAATAAAAAAACACACGTAAGGAGCTCATGCCTTGGAGGAAATAATACTGTTCTCTGGACTGGACCGAAGGAGGCAGGAATAGAGGCTGATCTATACATATTTATAGATTACACAGGATGTTGAAGGGGGTTAGGGACACCACTGTCATAGTAGGGTGTAAGATGGTTTACCAAGAATAAGGGCAAGGGGCTTAGGTTTGGGGTTTGAAGAAAGTGCAGAAATCATCAGACTGAAAGGCTAGGTGAGGGAGATGACCAAGAGGAAAGAATCCCATTTAGGCTGAAGCGGGCTGTGGGCCTCTTGCAAATGAACTTCTAACCCACTACTCAAAGGATTCCAGATATGGATGTCGTTTGCAGTCACCTCATTCATAGATGTCTTTCCCATTCATTGTAGTAATGGGCTTTATTCAGGATGTTTAAGACTACAAACCAGTATTTTTACCAGCAAACTGTGAAGTTATTTCATTTGCCTGTCTTAAAAATATTGGGATCTAAAAGCAAAATTCTCAGGTGGGAGCTAAAAGGTGTCGTGCATGTATCCCTACTTAATCTTATATTTCCCAAATATTTACGTGCAAAAAAAGTAAAGATTGAGGTAAAATTCTTGTGCTTTATTTTTTTAGAGTGAAAATGCCTATATTTCTTTCAATAATAAAATGGAAATATGCGTATTTGAAAGTTTTGTTATGAACATGGCCAAGTGGTAAACTTAAAAATTTGTTCTTTAGGTTGGCAGATTCTGATAAGATAATGGTAAATTTTCAACAAAAAGCATTTTCTAAGCACTAGTTCTTTTACCAAACATTTGAGACTGGTGCACTTCAGAGTGCAGCACTATACATTAACCATAGATAGATACACATGCACATGTATGTACCTAATTACATGTACTCTAAGATTAAGTGGGACCCCCCCTTTTTTGTTTTTTACAAGAGGTGGTCACATCTTTAAGAAATGGGAATTTGAGTTCTGTAATGGCTCTGATAAGTGAAATATCCAGCACTGAGCTTCCTGGAATGAAGGAGTATCTGAGAAACACCCCGATGTCTTTTCTTTGGGAGGCTAGTAATCAGGTACTCAACTCATGCAGAACAAAAGCAGCCCAGTGTGCTCCAGTGATGTACGTGCTCCAGGCAGTAAGGTGTCTTACATTGTACCCTTTGCCATTCAGAACATGCTACTGTTACTGTAAATGTAAATATAGTATCTTTCTAAGACAGCCCTACCCACTTTTTCAAAAGTATCACTAAAGGTGGCTGCAATTTATATTGTGAATATATAGCCTTTTGTGAAAGGAAGCATCTGCTATGAAAATAGCCCAAGTATTATTCCAGCAGAAGACACTGCTATGTCTAAATTCCCTGTACTAGATATCATCCATGAGTTTTCATTATTAATAATAAATATATTTAATAATATCCTATGCTTCCGCTGATTTCTCAGATAAGGACTGGAGCAAATCTTTATAGACAGCAGAATTCATGAATCGGGGATATGAGTCTCTGTGCATTAAGGTGTATATCTGAAGTTGTGCGTCATCGAATATGTGTTGGGATGGCTCCACCATGTTCTTATTGATGACTTCTCTTACTCGGGAGTCTAAACTGACCTGTCAATAGAAAAAAATAAGAGCAGTATTTGATACATTTCTCTTGGGAAATCCATCCCAAACCCCCATAGCTTGTTCTGGTTTTTAAAAATTCCAAACCAACCAAGGTCATCCAAAAATCTAAGCTGCTGAAAGAGAAAGTGAATGCATAATGAAGATGGGGTTTTCAAACCTCAGTGGCAGCAGAAGCCCCGGGATGGCTTGTTAAATAGATTCTGGGTCCCACCTGAGAAGTCTCAGGCTCAGTAGGTGTGGGGAGGGGCTGATGATGTGTATTTCTCACAAGTTTCAGGTCATGCTGGTGGGGATCACACTGCTTTAGAAAACCACAACATTGCTTTGCTTGTTTAAAATGAAAAAAGCGTGCACAGACTTATCCCTTGCCAATTTCCTAATAGCATTAGGGCTAAAACCTGGAGGCCCCAGACTGTAGCCACTAGAACACAATTTCAGATTTCTGGGAACAAGCGCTAGGCCGGCTGGTGAAGTGAGTCAACTGAGAAGCACCATAAAGGGTTAAAATCATGGGACCTGTGTTTAAGTCCCAGCACTCTCACTGCTAGTTGTGGGCCCTTCGGCAAAGTAAACTACCCTAATGAACTCCAAAAAGTGGGGATGATGATGATGCTAGCTGGTGAGGATTCAAGAATTTATTTAAAATGCTTGGAATTCATTCAGGCCTTAGGCGATGTTGGCTTTTCTTGTGCTGATGCTGGCTTATCCCAGACAAGGCTGTCCCCCAGGGGAGAGCAAGTTACTGGGCTCAGACTTTTCGTAGGGCACCAGACAAATGCGTACAGGTCTAAGCCAGACCGTCTCTGCACCAGAGGGCCATGATAGTTCTGATGCTATGCAATGCACATTTGTTTAATATAAAACTCAAAATATGATTAGCTAAGTCATTAAATACTGACTTCAGTGATGTATCTTTCACGATGCATATCTCCACCTTCCTCCTGGAAAGCCCCTTTTGCCTAGTCATGGGTAACTCAAACCCAATACTTTTATTCTTGAATAGCCTGTGAAGGAATGGAACTGTTCATTTCCACCCAAATCCTGCTCATCCTTCATTTTCCTTCTGGCTCTATATTCATTCACCCTGTCCTGGCGACCCTACCCCTTTAACACTTCTGTAATCTGTCCACTTTTCCCTCCTCTCTACTGTGCCCCTTGTGGAGGTTCACTGACCATTTACTGCTGGATTTGTTTTCCAGCCTCCTAACTGGTCTCCTGCTGCCAATCTAGTGCCTTTCCAAACTACTCCAGGGGGTCGGCCAGAGGGATCTTTCGAAAGTGCAAACCTTGCACTGGCTTGCTGTGCTCTCAGGATCAAGTCCAAAGCTTACAAGTTCCAAGCTGAAACTTACAAGCCCTTTCATGATCTGCTTCCACTAAATTCTCAGTTCACTATTTCATGCACAAATTTAAAGAACTTGGAATTCAGTTGGAACTTAAAAGCAGCTAGAATTAGTTTTTCTTTGTTGTTTCTGTTTAGAATATACGCTACCCCCCCCCCCACCCCCTTCCACCTGGCTGAGTGTACTTCTCTCCTTCACGTCTTGGTTTAGATATCCCTCCCTGTCCTGGGAAGCCTTCCCAACCCCCCTGAGCTTATCTGTAGGGCAGCGCTCACTGCTGGACAAGCCTCTCCTAGATGCTTCTTGAGTATAAGGGCCCAGTTCTTAGGAGCACAGCTCCTTCCAAGGGGGCACTCAATACATAATTGTGGCTAAAAGGAGGAAAGTTCCTGCTCTTGTTAGAGAACTAGACTGAATTACTGTAGAAAACATTAAAGAATTTCAGTTCACAAACAGTGAAGGTGCAAATGGGACTGTTTCATTCTTTAAAATCTCCATATAGTGTCCCTATGAGTGCTTGGTGGGGACGGTGTCTGGTCAGGATAGCTGAATGCACAGAAGTTACTGAGAGTGGCTGCCTGGGGTGCACCTACTGTGCCAGGGGCTGGGACTAGCACTTTGCATTACCCTCCCTCTCAGTCCTCCCAATGTCTGGGCAAATGGTGATGCCCCTTCATGGATATAAGGAAGTTGAGGTTCAGAAATACACTCAAGGTTATTAAATGACAGAACTGGAGTTCAAACCCAAGTGAACCTGACCCCGAAGTCTATGCTCTTAATTTTTTTTTTTTTTTGTTAAATCCTCACCTGAGGACACATTTATAGAGAGAGGAAGGGAGAGAGGGCAAAAACATCGATATGATGATCAGTTGCATTCCATATGTGCCCTGACCAGGGATCAAACATGCAACCTAAGCATGTGCCCTGACTGGGAATCGAACCCACAGTACTTTAGTGTATGGGCTGTTGCTCAAACCAACTGAGCCACATTGACCAGGGCAAATTTTTTAAGCTTTTATATTTCAAGTAATTGATGCTTATATTTGGGAGGAAAAGGTCATTTTTGGTATAATTTTTGCTTCACAAGTTTGCTAAGAGGTTTCTATAATGTAAATTTTGTTTGTATAATGCCTTAGAGGATAGTGACGAAAAATCTTGCAAAATGAAAATATGCAGAAGCCGTAAATTAAAGGACAAAAACTATCTTGTTTTTTATTATTCCAAAATGCAAATAACATTCTGAGCTCCATATTTATACCTATCAACTGAGTATCTCCAACATCACAGAGCGAACAAACATAAGGAGGCAAAACTGAGCCAGGCTGTATTTCTCCCAAACATACTCCCCATCCTGCCTGCCCAATTTCAGCGAACTAGCCCACCATCTGGTCTACCCAAAACATACTTGCAGCAGTCATTTGAGACTCTGGGATTTCCCTCAAATCACACCCTTCCTCTCTAGTTTCTCTTCAGCTGGACTCTCAGGTTCTCATCACATCTGTTTGAACTACTCAAACAGAGTAGTTTTGGTCCCCTGCCTCTGGTCTCCTCCTAATCTATTCTGCAGCCATAATGGTCTTCAAACTCCAAATTTAGACTGATGAAATGACCAGTCTAAAATCCAGGGGCATCCCAGATAAACAGTAGAAAATCTCAGCATGGCTCCCAATTTCTTGATGCTCTTGGAGAATCCATGTTTCTTACTTTCCCCCTGCTGCCTGCCATCTGCCCTACATGTTCGGTAAACATGCCACATCAAACTGTTGATACTTTCACTGTGATGTGACTAAATACTTTTATCCTTGGCTCATTTAGTCCTATCCTCTGGGATGTCTTCATCCATTGTGTTTCTCATAATTTCCTTTCTATTATCCTAGGTCTGTCTAAGGCCTCTCCCAGTACATCTCCCTCATTCCTGCCCCTCCGCACGGTTGACGGCTCACTACACCTGCAACCTGTTAGGACATGCCATTCTGCCCCCTGTGTGTGAATTCCCTGATAGAAGAGGTCCTGTTTTACTAACTTTATATTCTTAGCACATAGTAGGAAATAACGAATGGCTTTATAATTAGAGCTACAAGGCACTTCATGTTGAGATCAACCTAACTGCCTACATTTTGGCATTGAAGGAACAACTCTGAGAGATGAAAACTTGCTTGATTTCACCCATAACTACTCTGATATTAAAAAAGGGCATCCTGGGGAAGAACTTTGAAGCATCAGTATCATGTTAGTGATGATACCATGTAAAATAAAGATGCCTATAGAAAAGATATTGCTCAGAATAAAAGGATATTTTTATTTAAAGAAATGCTGATGGGGTGTACTATTTTTAAACAGTATTAATAATAAAATGCATAGGCTATCTCTTCTGGAGAATCTGATGAAAGTTACTCATACTTTCTCCAGAAAAATACTCAAAATGTTTCACAGATTTCAGGGTGCACTGAAGCCCATTTGTGGAACCGTAGTCAAAGGGATTTGAATGCAGTTGACCGTTGAACAACATAAGGAGTAGAGGCACCAAACCCTGTGCAGTCAAAAACCCACATAGAACTTTTGACTCCCCAGAACTTTACTAATAGCTTACTGTTGATTAGCAGCCTTACTGGTAATATGAATAATCAATTAATACATATTTTGTATATTATGTGTATTATATACTATATTCTTATAATAAAGTAAGCTAAAGAAAAGAATGTTATTTAAAAATCACAAGGAAAAGAAAAATATATTTACAGTACTCTACTGTATTTGTTGGAAAAAGTCCACATATAAGTGGACCTGCACAGTTAAAACCAGGGTTGTTCAAGAGTAACTGTATTATGAATACTAGGTGGAGTCATTTTCTATATTTGGTGTAGCTGTAACTGTACCAGGTGACCAAACACTGAAGGGGTTAATTTTATCCACAACCTCCTGGGACAAAACTTTTTGGGAGGTACTTACCTCTTTAGGAGAAAGAATAGAAATGTAGTCTTCATATATGATCCTTGCCTTTTCCTCAATAATGCTTTTATTAGCTTCTTTTTTCAGTTCCTCACATGCCATCCAGAAAAGCATGTTTTCTTCACTGAATTCCGTTCGGAGGAACTCACGGAAAGCATTCCTTCCCGCGGGAGTGAGCATTAGCTTGTCAAAGGACTGTGCCCAGGCGCTCACCTCTTCCAGAGTAGGAGTGGGGCTTAGCAGAGATGGGAGAAAGGACGAAAGGGGGCTATGTTAGTGGTAGTTAATTTGAATTCACCACTAGAAACCCGTCTTTTTCCTCTCTGAGAATGAAAGTGTGTACTTAGGAAATTTTAGGAAGGCAAAGAGCTCTTCTTGGTTTCCTTAAGCCTTTAGAACAAACACACAAGTTTGATATTTTCAAATTGTTGACTGGATTGCATGGCTACCACCCAAATGCTTGCAAACCAAATTGCTAGAGTGACTGCTGAGAACATACTTGTTTGCATCTAGGCACATCCTGGAAAAGTTTTTAAATTACAGAAGTAAAGAAAAATCCTATAATCATCTGAGTAAAAACTCCTCAGTCACATTGACAGACCTAAGTCAGCCCTGACCACACTGATTTCCAAAATAGCAATGCAGTGGGTCAGTGTCTATTTAGTATTTTTTAAAACTCAAAAGAGAATTTTAAAGAGGAGAAAACAATATGTTATATAACTGTGGCTTAGGATGGGCGACAATAAAAATGAGCATTTACAAATTCACCATTTACCTCAAGTACCAGACCATCACCACCAGCTGCATTTACCTTGGCGCTACATTCACACACTGCTGTTGGACTCCCCATCCCTGAGGGAACCACTGTTCTTGACTTTGGATTTTCCCTGAGTTGATTTTTTACTTACATTTAATTATATAGAGGTCAGAAAACATAGTCTGTTTAACAATGGTCTTTTTCCTTACCCCTTTTTTTATAGTTTCTATATCTGTATATACCCTTGAAAAATGTATTTTTTAGGTTTTTTAAAAAAACTTTATGAAAATGGCTTCTGCAACTTGCTTTTTTCACCCAACACTAAGAATCTAAGATCCACTCATGTTGCTGTATGTGACCAGAGTTCCGGGGCAGGATTCCTCTGATATTCCATTCTTGTGCTGTCCTCATCAGGTCTTGGTATCACTGTTAAACCTGCCTGTTAGGCATTTGGGTAGTTACACAAGACTTATAATCTTGGAATGATCAATTCCTGAAATGTTTTGTATAACTAATCTGTAAAACCAACTGAATCCAGTGTTATTTTGTAGGAAAGTGTTACTGGGTTGAAACACTAAAAAAAGATATGTTGAAATCCTAGCCCTCAGTACCTCAGGATGTGACCTTAGTTGGAAATAGGATCTTTGTAGAGGTAATCAAGGTAAAATGAGGTCATTAGGGTGAGCCCTTATCCAATATGACTGGTGTTCTTACAGAGACAGACACACACAAAGGGAAGACCATGGAAAGATACACAAGGGAAAGACAGTCCTGTGACTGGCATGAAATATCTGTAAGATGAGGAATGCCCAGGGAAGCTAGACGAAGCCAGGAATGATCCTCTCCTAGAGCCGTTTGAGAAAATGGCTCTGCTGACCTCTTGAGTGTGCATTTCTGGCTTCAAAAAAATAATATCCGAAAAAATAAGAAAAAGTACAACAGAGAGATCCTATGTACCATTTTCCCTGTTGCCCCCATCGTAGCATCTTGCAAAACTATAATACAACTTCACAGTCCTCTTGGACATCGTCGACAGTTGAATTCTGCTTACTCATTTTTGTGATTCCATCTTTAATTAGCTTATGATTTCTGAGACCATTATTTTATATTTCATTACAGATACTTACAGCATCTTTGGTCCTTTGGTCTCTAAGTCCAAGTGTTATTTTTACTTACTCTCATTTGTGGTGGGTTGTTTCCTTTTAGTTTCATAATTTTGGGTTGGTCTTAATCTTTGGCAAACAGAGTTGAAATTGAGGATGTTTTCTTTCCTCCAGAGAATGTGTGTGTTTGCTTTTTCTGAGATCTAGCCCGTGTTACTGACCTGGGGCCATTTCAGGGATCAGGGCTTAATCTGGACGCCTCTGTTTCAACACCTTGCCCTCATGCTACTCTGCACTTGCCCTTAGAGAAAACCCTTCTTTCCTGTGCTTAGCAGTCACTACTCAGTGTATTACAACTTATTCAGTTGTGTTCTTCAAGTACTTCATCATTCTTCTTACTTTCTATGAGCCAAGGAATGCAAAAACTTTTAGATTTATACAAAATCTGTTGTTGTGCATTGGGAAGGCCCTTGGACACAAGGCCAAAAGCACTCTCTTTAGTTGTGAGGGGTAAATGATGTAGACCCAAAAATTTGCTATGTAGGTAACTTGTCTTAATTACATGAAGATCATAGGAAAAACACTCTCACATACACAAAGATTCACAATGTAAATTCTATGTTCTTTTCTTGAAATCATATCCTGAAGATGGATTACAACTGACCCAGCACTGCAACATAAATGAAATGTTCAAGATCAGAGGAAGTAGTTTATAGAAAGAGAATTAGCAGAGAAAATTGTAAGTGTTTAAACAATTGTTTCAAGTTTAGTTTCAAAATTAGATTTCAGTGTGGACTACGGATCTCATTTCAGTACGACTGTGTGCAAATGCACAGGAAGTACACTTGAGGATATATGAAAAGCTGTAGATGTCAGTATATCTGGAGACTGGGATGAGGTACGAAAAATAAAATTTCTATTGTAAAACTTCTGTATTATTCATTTTTGTTTTTATAGTGTATTTAAATTTTCCTCACGAAGGTATGAAAACATAATACAGAAAATTAGTTTTTAGTTAACTAGTTTAAGCGAGAAGCTTAGTTTTTAAAAAATGTTTTAAAAGATGTTTAAAGGATAATTTAAAAATAATAAAGTAATCTACATAAAAATCCTGAATTCTTTTTATAGAGATTCCCATTAAATTGGTGAGGCTTACTAAAAAGTAGGCTACATTATGTTCCTTAAGTATGAAAATTTAAAAGATATCTTTTTACTCCTGTCAATTTAAAATATATATATAAAAGAATGATTTTGAAAAACTTAAAGGTAATTGGTAGGACATTTTTTAAGAGAGGACATATAATTTCCATAGTACTGAAAAACCTAAAAGCAAAGAAAGCAGTTCACATAACAAAATATACATAAAAATTTTTTAAAAGTTAAATAATTAGGTATGACAAGCAGACTATCAAAGAATGCTAGAAGATTAAACATACCAGTACTCATCAAAATAACCGACCTAATGTAATTGGATTCTAATTCTCTATTTAGAGACAGAGACTCAAACCGGACCAAATCTAACATAATACTATTTTGGGGAACCATACAAAATATTATCAAATATTAATAACAAATACACAGGCAAAGATATATGAAGCAAATGCAAATAAAAATATCTAAGTAGGAATGGAAGCAAAAGGAATTAAGTTGTATAAAAAGTCATTTTATATTGTTGGATATGATTGAGAGCTAATAATAGCAAATATATATTGAATGCTTGCCTTTTGCCAAGCTCTGTTCTCAGTGTTTTACAGGTCTTATTTAATATTCACAACAACCCTTTTTGGATTAGCTACAACAAACTATTATCATCCTTATTTTACACATAAGGAAACCAAGGCATAATGTGGCTTACTAATAAGTAAAGTGCCAAAGGTCCCAGGGACCCACAGGCAGGATGCATACAACTAGGGCTAGATATAAGAAATCTGGTTTCAGATGTAGCAGCCTCAAAGCATTGGTACAGAATACATTTTACAGGAATATGTAAGATAAAATCTGTTTTTTTTAAGTTGTGGAAGTGCTTCCCAGACTTTGAAAAATCTGGGTAAAAATAAATAAGATAAAAAATGAAGAAAAATATTTATGTATTTCACCATATATATAATGCACACTCTTTTGCCCAAATTTTTGAGGGAAAAATAAGGATGCACATTATATATGCACATAATGATTACACACCATGGGTATGTTAATCCCGTGTATAATGTACACAAAAATGTGGGTGTGCATTATATATATAGCAAAAATTATAGTAATTAACCTTTTAAGCTACTTCTGTTTTCCTCTCAAAAATAGACAATTTAATACAATACCTACTGGAACAATGCTTTTAGGATATTGGTTTTGTATTTGCAATTATATAACCATAATACCAAGAAAAGGAATAAGAATACATAGGTAAAAGTAAATCAATTGATACTACAGGTGGGAAGAAAGACAATTTTAAAATTTGGCATTATGTAAAGTAATTTATTTGTTTTTACTTAAATTTAAAAAATAATGCATTAATGGAAGTATAAGTTAAGAAAAAACTAGTTAAGAAAAAATGGACATTTGAAACTTTCCTAAAAACAAATTATCTATGTTTCATTACAGTCTTTTATTTTAAAAACATACCATATAAAAATAAAATAGTATCATCTATTTGTCAAGAAGCATCAATTTATGTTTAAGATTAGCAGGTATTAGATTAATGATGGAACTGATTTTTGTCACTATCATACAATAAAAGGAATTCCGCACTGAAAATGTGATGCCACATTATAATTTGGTATTAGCAAATTGCATGTACAGAAACCTTGTGTTCATTGAAACATATAATACAAAAAATAATAAAGCAGGCACTTCCATCAACTCAGTGAGCCAAACAAATGAGATTTTACCTTTCTTCATGGTTTGGAGTGTCATCTGTTCTGAGTTCATGGGAAGCCCTCCTGGGTCTCTGTTCTTGGTTTCTCACAGTGAGACTGAACAAAACAGGACATTTACTTGTGAGCCAACATCATCTTAAGAGAGCTCCCGATTACCAAGAATTATTTTTTTCTTGAAAAAAATGACCCCGATTAGTTTTCTCAAAAAAACAAAAATATAACAATAAGGTATTAGCAAAGTAAATTACATTTATAATATTGTTGTCTACACTAATCAAGTGAGGGTTTACCTTTAGAATAATAATTCTTTTCATAAAAACATCCATTAGAAAGTAGTAAAAAAGTAAGATTATCAGGATTGTTTTGTGTTTTCATTTCTTTGTTTTTCAGATATTTTTATTTGTTTCATTTCTTGCACATTGAAAACAAGTATATGTTCTCCAAAATTTGTTTGCAGTGAAAATGAAGGTTTTATATATTTATAGGCATACATACAAAAGCATCAGAGAGCATCAGGCAAGTGTGCAATGAAAATCTATTATATTGTTTAAGAGAATTTAAGTTTCCTTATACACATCCTACACTTTCTTTTGTAACTCTATTACAAGTATTTTTGTTGTTATTGTAAATGGAATTTTCACTTCAACCTTACCTTCTAACAGGTATTTACATTTGTGCATATGAAGGCTATTACTTAATAGCTATATTTAACTATCATTTTTATATCATAAAGTTAGTTTTAAAGTGCACCGTTTAGTGGTTTTTAGCCTAATCACCAGGTGGTACAATTATCACTGCTCTCTAATTTCAGAACATTTTCATCACCCTAAAAAGAAGCCCATCCCTGTTTGCAGTCATCCTCATTACACCTTATACCCACCTCCTCCTGGACTGGTTATACTCAAATTTATTTCCAGTCTCTGCAGATTTCTCTATTCTGAATTATACAATATGTGGTCTTGTGTGTCTGATTGCTTTTACTCAGCATAATGTTTTCAAGGTTCACTCAGTTGCGGCATGTATTAGTACTTTTTCCTTTTTGCAGCTTAATAATATTCCATTGTATGGATATACCACAATTTGTTATTTATTCATCAGTTGAACATCTAGGTTGTTGGTATCTTTTGGCTATTTATAAAAAAATTTGCCTGTGGACAGTCATGTATAAATTTTTGTATGGATGTCTTTTTTTTCATTTTTATTGAATGTATTGAGGTAACATTGGTTAATAAAATTATACAGGTTTCAGATGTACAATTCTGTAACACATCAGCCCTATATGATATTGCCTGTACACCACCCCAGGTCAGTCTCCTTCCTTCACCATTTATCCCTACTACCCTCTCTTCTATCTCATCCCCACTTCCACCTGGTATTCACCATGCTTTGTCTGTGTATATGAGTCTGTTTGTAATTTGTTGGTTAGTTTATTTTGTTCATTAGATTCCACATATATGATACTTGTCTTTCTCTGACTGGCTTATTTCACTTAGCATAATACTCTCCAGGTTCATCCACACCATTGCAAAGGGTAAAATTTCCTTTTTTATGGCTGAGTAGCATTCCGTTGTATAAAAGCACCACAGGATTTTTATCCACTAATCAACCGATGGGCTTTTTCCAGATCTTTGACTATTGCAAATAATGCTGCAGTGAACATAGAGGTGCAGATATTCTTTCGAATTTGTGTTTTGAGATTCTTAGGAAATATTCCCAGATGTGGAATTGCTGGGTCATAAGGCAGTTCCATTTTTAATTTTTTGAGGTCACTCCATACTGCTGTCCACAGGGGCTGCACCAATCTGCATTTCACCAACAGTGAATTAGGGTTCCCTTTTCTACACATCCTTGCCCGCACTTGATTTTTGTTGATTTATTGAGGATAGTCATCCTGACAGGTGTGGGGTGTTATCTCGTTGTGGTTTTAATTTGCATTTCTCCGATGATTAGTGCCGTTCAGCATCCTTCCATGTGTTGATTGGCCATGTGCATGTCCTCCTTGGAGAAGTGTCTGTTCAGGTCCTTTGCCCATTTCTAACTGAATTGTTTTATTTTTTGGTATTGAATTTTATAAGTTCATTATAAATTTGGGATATTAACCTCTTATCAGATATATCATTGGCAAATGTGTTCTATTTAGTGGGTTGTCTTTTCATTTTGTTGATGGTTTCCTTTGCTGTTTAACAGCAACTGTTTAACTGTTTAGTTTGATGCTGTTCCATTTGTTTGCTTTTCTTTTCTTTCCCTTGCCCAAGGAGATATGTTAGAAAAAATATTATGACAAGGGATACCTGAGATTTTACTAGCTATGTTTTTTCTAGGATATTTTCAAGTCTAACATGTAAGTGTTTAATCCTTTTGAATTTATTCTTGTGTATGGTATAAGAAGGTGGTGTGGTTTCATTATTTTTGCATGTATCTGTCCAATTTTTAACAACATTTATTCAATAGACCATCTTTACTCCATTGTATTTTTGCCTTCTTTGTCAAATATTAATTGACTATATAGAAATGGATTTATTTCTGGGTTCTCTATTCCATTCTTTGATCTATACTTTTTTTTTTAATGCCAGTACATGCTGTTTTGATTACTATAATTTGGTATCAGGTAGCATGATTCCTCTAATTTTTTTCTTCCTCCTCAAGAGTGTTGTTGCTATTTGTGATCTTTTGTGGTTCTATATAAATTTTTGAAATATTTGTTTTAGTTGTGTGCAATATGCCATTGGTATCTTGATAGGAATTGTGTTGACTCTGTAGATTGCTCTGGGTAGTATGGACATTTTCCTGATGTTAATTCTTTTAAGCCATGAACAAAGTATATGCATCCACTTATTTCTATATTATTTATTTATTGTCAGTGTCTTACAATTTTCCGAGTACAGGTATTTTACATCCTTGGTTAAATTTATCCCCTAGTATGTTTTTGAAGCAATGGTTAATGGGATTGTTTTCTTAGTTTCCCTTTCTGACACTTTATTATTGGTGTACAAAATGTAACTGATTTCTGGATATTTATTTTGTATTCTGTGATTTTACTGAATTTTTAATATTCTAGTAGCTTTTTGGTGGAATCTTTAGGGTTCTCCATATACAGTATCATGTCATCTGCAAATAATGACAGTTTTACTTCTTCCTTTCCAATTTGGATGGCATTTATTTCTTCTTGTCTGATTTCTGTGGCTAGGACTGCTAGTACTATGGTGAATGAGAGTGGTGAAAGTGGACATCCCTGTTTTGCCTGAGTCTTAAGGGAAATGCTCATAGTTTTTGCTCATTGAGTTTGATGTTGTCTGTGGGTTTGTCATTTATGACCTCTATTATGTTGATGTATGTTCTCTATTCCCACTTTGCTGAGAGTTTTTTTCATAAATGGATGCTGGATTTTATCAAATGATTTTTCTGCATCTATTGGTATAATCATGTGGTTTTTATCCTTCATTTTGTTTATATGATGTGTCACCTTTATTGATTTGTGGATATTCTACCATCCTTGCATCCCTGGAATAAATCCCACTTGGTCATGTTGTATGATCATTTTAATACATTGCTAGACCTGGTTTAATACTTTTTTGGAGGATTTTAGCATCCATGATCATCAGGGATATTGGTTTATAATTTTCTTTCTTTGTAGTGTCCTTATCTGGTTTGGGAATTAGGATAATGCTAGCCTCATAAAATTAGCTTGGAAGTCTTCCCTCCTCTTAAATTTTTTTGGAGTAGTTTGAGAAAGATAAGTATTAGCCCTTTTTTCAATGTTTAGTAAAATTCACTGGTGAAGCCATCTGGTCCAGGACTTTTGTTTGTTCAAAGTTTTTTGATTACTGCTTCAATTTCACTAGTTGCAATCTGTCTCTTCAGATTCTCTGATTCTTCCTGATTCTATTTTGGAAGATCATATATTTCTAGGAATTTATCTGTTTCTTCCAGATTGTCCAATTTGTTGACATATAGTTATTCATAATATTTTCTTACAACCCTTTGTATTTCTTTGGTGTCAGTTGTTACTTCTGTTTCATTTCTGGTTTTATTCTTTTGGGTCTTCTCTCTGTGTTTCTCTCCGAGCCTGGTTAAAGTTTTGCCAATATTGTTTATCTTTTCAAAGAACCAACCTTTGTTTCATTGATTTTTTTTGTATTGTTTTAGACTCCAATTTGTTTATTTCTCTCTGACCTATTTTTTTTAAACCCTCACCCAAGGATATTATTTTTATTATTGATTTTATATAAAGAGAGAGAAACACTGATGAGAGAGAGAAACATCAATTTGTTGCCGCTCATACATGCCTCTGCCATGGACTGAACCCACAATCTTATGTATATGCCCTGACCAGGAATTACACTCACTTTAAGTGTATGAGATGATGCTCCAACCAACTGAGCAACCTGGCCAGGGCTGCTCTGATCTTCATTATTTCCTTCCTTCTACTCACTTTGGGCTTTGTTTGTTGATTTTTTTTTTTCAGTTTTCAAAGTAAAACTAGATGCTTTATTTGAGATTTTTCTTGTTTCATGAGGTAGGCCTGTATGCTATGAATTTACCTCTTAGAACTGTTTTAGCTGTGTCCCATAGAATTTGGCTTGTTGTGTTCTCATTTTCATTTGTTTCAAGACATTTTTTGACTTCTTACTTGATCTCATTGTTAACCCATTCATTTTTTTTTACTAATGTTATTTAGCCTCCATGTCTTTGTGTGTTTTTCAGTTTTTTTTTTCTTGTGATTGATTTCTAGTTTCATTCCATATGGTCAGACAAGTTGCTTGATATGATTTCAGTCGTTTTAAAATTATTGAGACTTGTTTTGTGTCCCAACATTTGGTCTATCCTAGAAAATTTTCTATGTGCATTTGAAAATAATGTATGGCTACCCCAGCATTTTTTTCTTTTTTATTTGCATGAAATGTCTTTGTTCCTCCCTTTACTTTTAGTCTGTGTATATCTTTCGTTCTGAGGTGGATCTCTTGTAGACAACATACATATCGGTTTTGTTTTCTTATCCATTCAGCTACCTTACGTCTTTTGATTGTAGCATGTAACCATATCATTTAAAGTGATTATTGACAGGTACATATTTATTGCCATTTTATTCTTTTAAC